ATTCGGTGGAAACCGAATAGGCTTGAGTTCGGTACACGTAACCTGGTTCGGTGCTATATTCATAATAAAATATAGGAATGCACCTACCCTAGGAAATCAAACATATCTATGCATGATAAATGAAACCCAAGCTAGTAATAGCATAAGAAAGTCTAGGCAAGCTAGCAAAGCCAGCATAAGCCGTCGTACTCTCACAAGAAGTGACGAAATTGCGTGACTGCATCTTCTACAAAAAGATGACCCTGCCACTGTTCAAGAAACACCGCGAATCTAACAATGCGCCAAAATCAGTTTTCTCGGGACACCACAGCTTCGCCACGACACAAGACGAAGCTGACGTGGCAGAAGATGGAGCAAACGTCTCGGCCTACGATCATTTTCCGCACATCCCCCTTACAAGCCATCTCCAAACCCCAACCTTCATACCTGTTTCTCAATTCGATCCTGATGATACAACTCGCAAAACCCACCACAACGACAACAGCACAACGCGCTAATCTCCGGATGCCGAGTTACCACCAACAAACCCCTCGCAAGACACCATCCGCAACGACCACGATAGTGACGATGATGTCGTTGAAGTTACCAGCATGATAACCTAGATCGCCTCGCATATGAAAGCACCAATGAAACCGGTCTTTGCATCCTTGGACTCGCCATCGCAGTTCGCCACAATTCACCCAAGGAACCCAGGTGGTGGCAGTGACGACTCCGGCTGAGGCTAGAAAAACAGTCGCCGTTGCACAGGCTGTGCAACACCTCCAGCACGAAAACCTCTAGTACTCCCAACTCCAATACCTTTAGCTCCAGCACCTCTAGTACTAGAATCCCCAGCACCTCCAGCTCCTCTACCTCCAGCTCTGTACCTCCAGCACCAGCAGCCTCAGCACCTCCTGCTCCAGTACCTCCAGTGCCTCCACCTCCTGAGTAAGCGACTACAGGCTCAGTACCTCCAGTAGCAGCACCCCTACGCTCAGCACCCCTAGAAACAACATCTGTAAAGTCAGCACGACGTCCGACTACCCACTCACGCAGTTGCTGCGGCGAGAGAGTCTCCTGCGGACGCGACGGCAGCTGCTGCCCATCTCCAGATGCAACACCTCCAGGCTCAGCACCTTGAGAACCAGCACCTCCAGCGTCAACATCCGCAGAGCCCACACCTCCCACGCCACCACCTCCACTAGCACCGAAGTCCATAGTGACAGGCTCTAGAGGCAGCGAAGACGAGGCGGAAAGCTCGGAAGGGTCTACAAGCGCGGGGAGCGACGTCAGGGCGCAGTGTCGTCATCAGCAGGGTCACCCCCCTCAGCTGGGCCAGAGGAGACCTCCAAAGACTCAGCCAAGGGGGGTGGTGTGACCTGAGACACACCTGAGGGAGCAGGACGCGAGGGGGGGTTGGGGGTCTACCGGGGGTTAACCTGGAACCAGGAAGAGGGGCGGCGGGGGGACAGGAGAAGACACGTGGGGGAGGAGACGGTAGTAACAAACTGACTCGTCAAAAGTGACGTCCTGGGAGGACAGGACACGACGCGTGGCTGGGTGGTAGAACTGCCAGCCAGGCGCATCAGTGGGAAATCCAAGGAAGACGCAACGAATGGTGCGAGAAGAGAGCTTGTCCGAAGTGGTACCGCGGACATGGGCAAACGAACCCCAAACCTGAAACGTCGACGCATCGCCAACCTTCCCCGTCCAACGCAGTGTAGGCGAGGTTTCTGGCTCGGAGACACGAGGCCAGAGGTTGAGCTGATGCGTGGCGTAACGGACCACAAACGGTCACAGAAAATGGGGAGCAGCTGCATGGATCATGAAGGTGCGAGAACCTCCATGACCAAGCCAATGCAGCGCTCAACGATCCCATTTTGCTGTGGAGAAGCCCTCCTCACGACAAAAGTCCTCAAGGAGATCGGAGGAAAACTCACCTCCACGGTCAGAGTGCAGACGGAGTACTGGGAGGTCCTGATGGAACCGCGTGCTCAGCTAGCAATAAACAGTGCGGATCCAAGGGATCAAAACAATACGGGCTCCGCAAGGAAAACACCGTGGTGTAGCGCGTGTAGTCGTTGACGACCAGCAGGAAGTAGCGCTCCCGGCCCGGCCCGGGGACAGCGGCAGGGCCCCACACGTCCATGTGCAGGGTGTGTAGAGGAGTCTCCATCGGAGGGAACGAGGAGGAGTAAGGAGCGGCACACTGACGCCCCTCGACGCAAGGAGTGCATGGCGGAGCAAGCGTCGGAGAGAGCGGGGGCAGGGATCTCGGAAGGCATGAGACAAGGAGACGCGAGTGCATGCGATGAAGACGCTGCATGGAGGGGTGTCCAAGACGGTGGTGCCAGAGGAGGGATGGATGGGTGAGCAACCGACACGAGCACGACGAAGCTACCTGACATGACCCAGCGAAATGTGCAGATTTGACGTGCAGTGTATACGGGCCAGACCCAGGCCTCTGAGTGAACGTGGCAAGGTGGTCGTCAGTCACTGAGTCCGTACAGATCGCCACAAGCTGGCCCCACTGATCCTGGAGGACAGCCTGACTCACCAAGTTCGTAGCGAACGAGGGGAGGTGGAAACCTATGAGGGAACCAGAGGGGACTGCTGAGCACGGGCGAATAGTGGTACCTCGTGCAACGACCGGGCCAGAGGAGGTGTCGGCCAGAGTGACAGGGACTCGTGTGGTGAGTGGTGTGAGTGTGGTGCAATCGCGGAAGAAGCAGCGAGGCACGCCTGAGTCAAGCGTGAAGGTGAGCAAAGCCTCGGCCGGAGCTGCACCTGTGCTAGCAGACTCACAAGCACCCTCTACACCACTAGGGATGCGTCGCACTGAAAACCACTCCCAAAACTGCTACGGCGAGAGGGTCTCCTGCTCACTCTGTTGTCGCTGCTGTCCACTCCCAGAACCTCCGCCTCCACTAGCGGCACCACCTGTATGAGCATACGCATAGGCACCCACACTTGCCTCCTCAACCAGCTGCTGCACCTCCCCTAACAACGGACAGCGCTGCTGCAGTGGCCGGGTGGTAGGGGAGAGGGAGGAGTAGTGTCTAACTATGGCGTAGTACAAAGGCTAGGCCAACGTCACCTAACGAAAGTGGTCCCTCTGGTCGACCGACAGGTGAGCTCGGATGACAAGCTGTGCAATAGCGTCACGCTCCGTCCACTGTGTGTAGGCAAGGCTGTCCGCCCGGTACCGCTACTGCATGTCCTCGCCAGCGCCAGCAGCAGGCTCAGTAGGAGTCGTGGGCGCCTGAAGGGACTTCGACGTGTGCTCGAGCAGGGAGACGCTATTTATAATGAAAAGTCGGAGATACCTACATAGGCATACAACCAGAAACCTTACTCGAAAGGGCGGCCATCTGTGTCAACCATTAAGACTGGGAGAAAGGCCATCACCGGCAGCGGCAGTCAGCAGTAGCGGCGCAAGGGCGGAGGTGGCAGGTGTAGTGGCAACGAGTGGCTGTAGCAACAGACGAGGGAGGTGCAGCGGCAGTTGGAGAAGCAGAAGCAGGGGCTGTAGTGGCAATAGCAGGGTTGTAGCTGCAGTGGTAGGGGCTGTAGCTGCGACAGAAGGGCCTGTAGCGGCAGCAGCAGGGCTGTAGCGGCGACAGCAGGGGCTGTAGCGGCAGCAGCAGGGCTGTAGCGGCAGCGGCAGGGCTGTAGCGGCAGCGGCAGGGCTGTAGCAGTAGCGGCAGGGCTGTAGCAGCAGCAGCAGGGCTGTAGCGGTAGCGGCAGGGCTGTAGCGGCAACAGCAGGGCTGTAGCGGCAGTAGTAGTCACAAAGGTAACTATCGAATGAATGATTGAGAAACAAGTAGTACAAGGTAGATATAGGAAACCCTAACTCAACCTAGGGCAAAGTGTAACACACCTAGACTAACACACATAAACTATAACAAATTTAGTTTGACACACCCCCATAGTCTAGGTGACAATAGTCCAGTGGAAAGCAACACACAACCCATGAGCAACGTGTTAAAGTCCTAGCTAGAGCTTAGTAGCCATGGCTAGGGTTTAGGTTTTACGAAGGAGAAATGATAACAGAAGAAGAGGGATTGCACTAGCAGCAGATAGGATACATATAGTAAACCCTAATTTGGGTTGTACTCACTATAGAGTACCCCACTGCAGACTAGACAATCATAGCATTCTGACACACCCCCATAGGCAAAGTGGGGTATGATCAGCACAGCAAGCAGTGGCATAAGAAGTTCACAAGCACAAGCAAAGCTAGAGGGAGTCACAGAGGGCAAGTGAGGAGGAGGAGGGATTGTGAGAGGAGTGGAGATAGGAGGCGACGGGTGAAGTCGCTGACACATGAAGACAATGAGGTTCAGATGAAGACAATGACAACCTCGAGACCGCCATGGCCTAGTCCAGGGACTTTGAGGCTCCCAATGTCCATCGATTTCTTATCAGTTAGCACTTTAAAGCCCAGATCTGCACTCGAACTGGCAATAGGAATCCAACGATTTAATTTTTGTGTTCATACAGCGAACATTTTTATCAATGGCTTATTGTCAGGCAGGATCAAGGCGTAAGCTAACGCTGAAAACCCAAGGGCAAGGGAAGTTTCTAAGGTCACAGACAACATCAGTGAGCCTTTCTGGCGTCTTGATATTATCCAGGCGCAACGACGAGTTTTCCAAGGCTACTTATACTCTAGCAGAAGGAACCATAATCATCAGCCAACAAGGGAGTGTCCCGTGCTCGGTTCTTTTCCTTCGTCAGCCATTCTACAGCGCTCTCAAGACTCTCATCATCACACGATGGCTCCCCCCCGAGGCTAACGCGGCTGCTTTGGCTGCTGCTGGAGGTGTCTTGAACAAGAAGGGATCGGAGCCGGTCACGCCGAGGACCTTGTTCAACGGCGTCCAGGGGCCTTTTGGAGCGGAGCTGTCGGCGAGGACGTCAGCACTCGGGATCAATGACCTGCCGGGAGAAGGGAATGACAAGTGAACGGCAACGGGGGTGAATCAGACCTCTGCATCTGGCATCCAAGGAAGCGGGATGGAAGCGATCAAGGAGTCTAAGGAGGAGGATGGTTACCTCAGCGACGACCCGGACGAGTGTCAAGATCTGGATGTGGTCAGTGACATCGCGTCTCAAGCGGGCTTCGCCATCACGTTGCTCATCCCGGCCAAGTGGATCGAAGAGGTTCTGCGCACGATCGATACGGTCCGCGGGCTTCTCCTGCTGTGGGAAGAGCATTTGACGGAGAATGTGAAGGTTACAACAAAATGTCACAAGCTTCTGCCGACGTGGCTCTCGAAGGAGCGCTTTGGTCGGGTTCAAGTGGTGTTTGTACACGCGGCGGATGCCAACTTCATGTGGAGCAGGAAGGTGGAACATGTGACGGTGCACAATATCCGACTGACGCTCGGATGGCAGCATCTTGAGAATCAGGAGTACCTGAAGGAGCGGTCGAAGAAGCCGGATGCTATCGAGGTGCTGCTGAAGAGTGTCCCGGCCGTCATCACGCCAGAGATGATCCGGAAGAGCTTGGTGACTGCGACCCTGTTGAAGCGCAAGCGCACGGCCTTCCTGGAGGGTTCGGCTTTTCACAGGGTGGTCGATCCGGTTACAGGGTCGGACACGGATAAGATCAAGGGTTTGGTTTACCGGCACCCTGGGGATAAGTATATGTGGTGGCATAAGGTGACGGATAAGGTTCACGGCACAGTTCTACTCGTCTCCTTCCCCGCACTCACCTGTACTTTCTGCAACGGCATGCATATGTCATGCTTTCATGATGAGTATGTGACAGAGCGGCAAGACAACTTTACGAAGTGGAACTTACCGTTGGCACGTGTTCACGAGATGAATGGTAATCATGCCTGCTCGAGTTGTGCTTTTCAGGTCGCTGCTGCCGCCGGCGACCCAGCCCATCTCTGTACCGTCTCCCCTCTGAGCAGCGGCCTCCCTGAAGCTGACCTCAGCTACAAAGGCCAACATGGAAGATCTGGCGATGGTCTTCACGTCTACCAACGGCGCACGGGAGGAGTGGCTGTGTGTTCAGGAGGGATGCAGGAAGGCGCATGGTGTCAGCTTCGCGAAGGCGGCGGAGCATGCGGCCTCGGTTATGCATTGCACCGAGCGTCTCAAGGCGGGAACGGCGACGCGTCAGAGCAAGGGGAAGATGAATCTCCAGGTGGTCAAGAAGGAGTTCGGGATGTGAGCCCTCAGCTGTGGTGTCCCGGCTCCAGTGTACTCACTGCATGTGCCAGGCTCGGGGTGGCAATAAACACAGAGCAAGGGAAGGGGAGGAGGTTGAAGTTGACGGCTGTTGCTTTTGTCTGTACACAGTTTAATAAAGCCCGTGAATGCAAGGGGCTCCTGTCAAGGTTGATCAATGGATAAGCGTTCGCAACTCACCATCTGTGGGGTCAACGTAAATGGCCTCGGAAGCAACGGCAAAAGAATCAAACAACGTGCATGGCTGGAGAAGGCCGCGGATGTGGTGGTGATGTCAGACACAAGGATCAAGGAAGACCATAACTTCTGGAAAGAGTTAAAACCAACGGCTTGGGCAACGGCAAGCACAGAGAAAGGAGCAGGAGGGGTGGTGATCGTGGTGTTTAGAAAACACTTACGCTTCACGGAGGTGATGACCCATAGTACAGGGAGACTGTTAGGAGTGACGGTGGAAGGGGGAGTGACGCCTTTCAGGCTGATAGCGGCGTACCTCCCGGCACAACCAGGGAAGCTGACGAAGTTTCACACAGAGCATCTAGTCCCGTTCGCAAAGGCGCAACCGGCGGGAACTCATCTGGTACTGGTGGGGGATCTCAACATCATTGCGGATCCGGACCTGGGCAGGTCATCGAACACGGGTTCCGGCAGGGAGAATCAGCGCATGCTGGAGGCGTGGGCTGGTTTCGACCTCAGAGATGCCTTCCGGGCGCTCAACCCCGGAGAGAGGCAGTACACGTTTAAGGCGAGGCCGTCAGGCACCAGGTCCAGAATTGACAGGGCGCTGGTGTCAACGTCGCTGCTGGGGCAATTAATGGAGGCAAGTCATAAGTGGGTACCAAAGAAGTTGTCAGATCACCGGTTCGCGATCCACGTCAGTCTCGCCTTCGTGTCGTCGCGTGAGAGCGGGCCTCGAATCTGGAGGCTTCATGCAACAAGGGTGAACCGGAGGGGAGTCAGGACGGTGTTACAAAGAATCATGGGGCCGCCGGCTGGGCAAGGCGGGCGGACGCTGGAGCATATGAGCGCGGCTCTGCGGGGGCATGAGAGAGAGGAGCGGAAATGTGTTAGGGCAACCAGACGACACCTGGAGGCGGAGGTCACAAGGTTGAACCACCTGGTTATGGCGGGGCCGACGGAGGCAAGGGTAAAGGAGAAACTGCTGACCATGGAAGCTCAGCTGGAGGGTTACCAGGAGAGCGAGACGGAGCGGCTGCAGGTTCTTGCTGGACTAGAGTTGGAGCTGCATGGTGAGATCCCGTCGCCGTATCTGTCAGCCAAGGTCAAGATGAGGAAAGAAAAGACGGTAAACAAAGAGGTGCTGCACAAAGGGAAGCGGTTCTACGGCTCACAAGAAGTCTTGAAGGCAGCTGCAGAGCACTTCCAGGATGCCTTCACGATGCAGGCAGAGGCAGGACAACAGGACCGGGAGGTTGTTAGGGTATCCAAACGCTTACCGGAGGATGCAGCGGCGAGGCTACGCGCTCCATGGTCGGAGGCGGAGGTTAAGGAGGCGTTGACGGGCCTACCGAGGGGCAAGTCGCCAGGCCAGGACGGCTTACCGCCGGAGCTCTTCAAAGCTCACTAGGACCTCCTAGGTGGGCTTTTGGTGGAGTTCGCTAAGAGATTCGAGAGGTCGGGCCTCCTGGACGAGTCAGTCACCACGGCGGCCACAGTCCTGCTGCACAAAAAAAGACCGACAGATCAATTAGGCAACTACAGACCCATCATGTTGCTAAGTATACAAGGTGTTGGCGAAGCTGCTGGCAAACAGGCTGAAGAAAGAACTACACCTGGTGATATCGGGGGAGCAGCACGGCTTCATACCTGGGAGGAGCTTGGCGGACGCAGTTTCGGTTGTACCTGACATGGTGGAAGCCGCGGACAATGGGGGGGAGGACTGGTACATCCTCAAGGTGGATTTCCAGAAGGCGTACGATACAGTGGTGAGGCCGTACCTCTTTGAGACAATGGACAAGCTGGGCATACAGGCGGAGTTCATTCGGTGGACCGAGGGGCTGCACCACGGCTCCGGGACGAGGTTGGCGATTAACGGCTGGGTAGGAGAGAGGGTGGAGATGCAAAGAGGTGTGTGACAAGGGTGCCCGCTGGCCCCGTACCTCTTCCTGTGTGCCCTTGAGCCGCTGTTCCAAAAAATCAAAGAAAATACTCTGGGGGTGAGCGCGGAAGGGGCGACGAAACTGTCATACGTCGGCTATGCGGACGATACGACGCTGATCCTGAAAGGGGAAGAGCAGCTGAGGGAAGCGGAGGCAGTTTTGGAGCAGTTCGGGGCGATGTCAGGCCTGCGAACGAACAAAGATAAATCAGTGGTCATGCCACTGGGAAGGAACAAAGGGAAGAGCGGAGCAGAAGGGGTGAATTTCAAGTGGGCAGCGGATGGGGTGCCGGAATGCCTGCTCGGGATATGGATCACGCCGAATGGAGATGCAGGGCCATCCTGGGGGAAAGCGTGGGAAAGAGGGAAAACGGAGTTAGTCAAGTGGGAGAGTCAGCATCTGCTGACAGCGGCGAGGGTGACAGTAATCAATGCTTACATCATGCCGCTCTTTATCTTCCAGGCGCAGGTCTACCCGCCGCCGGAGGAACTCTGGAAACACATCCAGAAGACGTGCGACAATTACGTCTCCAGTGGGGAGGCCATGGCGGATAAGTCTTTTGTGCTGTGGAGTGGAGAGTTGGCGCGCCTGCCAAAGAAAGAAGAGGGGTTGGGGCTGATAGACCCCAAAGCGAGAATCGACAGCATGGCGGTCAGAATGGTCGGAAAACTGATCGCGGAAAGGAATATCACGAAGCGATGGTTGGCAGAAAGGGCAGCGGCGTTACCTCAAGGGGCGGCGACGCTCTTCGCGGACCCGTCAGCTGCGAAGCACTGGCCGGGCGGCAGCCAGAGATGGAAGGCGGCGGTCGAGGCGTTCTAGGAGTCCCCGTATGCGGAGTTGCCGGAGCCGAAAACCGGTTGGGAGGTGGAGCAAGCGAAGGTGTGCTTCAACCGCAAAGTCATGTTCAGGGGGAAGAGCCCTTATGGGAATCAGCAGGGCACAGAGGGTATCAGAGAGGCGAACTTCGGCGTCCTGGTGGAGGAAGGGCCGGGGGGGGGGAGCGCACAGTGAAGAGCAAGGAGACTGTGAGAACGGAGCTGGGAGGGGTAGCAGCGACCAGATGGGCGCTGATGGCATATGCGGCGATGTCGGAGGAATGGAAAGCGATGGTCACGGCAAGCAGAACAGTGGAGGCGGTGGCGGCAGCGGCGGAGGTCGTAAGGACGTACCTCCCGCGGACACAGGAGCACCTGTACTGGAGGGTGACGGGGGTACAGGACAGCAAGCACGTGGCGCTATCGAGCGTTGGGTGCGGAGAAGGCGGGAAGCTGGAAAAGTGGGGCAGACCGATTAAGGCCGTTTTCGATGTAAAGCGGGTGGAGCCGGTGGCAGTCAGGGGTGGCAAAGTCCTGGGGGCGCTGGGAGCACCGCTGACGAGGCTGCGTCAATCTGGTATCCTAGACGAGGAAGGGCTGCCAGTGAAGGCGAAGGCGATCCGACGCGCGCTAACGGGCCCGACAACGACATCAAGAAAACAAAGCGGGTGGGAAGAAAGGTGGGGGAAGAAGATCGACTGGAAGAAGGTGGAAGGCAGACGGGAGTCTCTGGCAGTGCCTGTCAGGGCGAGAGATGTGCTGTTGAGGATGCACAGCCTGAACTTGCTAGTGGGAGGCAGGCTGAAGTTTTTGGTAGAAAGGGCGCGATGCTCACACTGTGGAGAACCTGAAACCCTAGAACACTGCATGTTTAGCTGCCCGCTGGTACAGCCTGTTATCGGCGCGCTGCTCCGTTCGCTGCAGCTGCTTGATCGGACGAGTTATCCGAGCTCACTGGGCGACCTGCTTTTCGAGGAAGGGGGCACACGGTCAGGCTTCCCGAAGACAACACTGGTGGCAACGACTTTCCGGCATATCTGGCTGGCGAGGTGCAACATGGTCTGGAGGGGGGAAAGGTTCCAGCGCAAAAAAGTGGCTAGGGGGGCGATCCGAGATTTCGTGATGCATGCCCAGATTTACCGGACTGAGCAGACACGAGTGGCACGAAGGAAGGGCAAGGCGAAGAAAGGGAGTGACCCGTGGAGAGATCTGAAGGATGACGAACGGGCGGCGGTGGCGCTGCTCAACGAACCCGGCGATAAGGCCACGTGGAGCGAAGGCTTTCTCTCTATCTGGCGCAACCCTAGGACGATAAGGCAACCACCATAGGCATACCACGGAGAGGAGGCCTCGTTTTCAATTAGAAGGCAGGGTCGGTCTGCTCCTGTATATCAGTTACGACTGAGAATGTATGCACTGCCAATAGTGTAATAACATTCATTAAAAAAAAAAAAAAAAAAAAAAAAAAAAAAAAAAAAAAAAAAAAAAAGACACACATGCAACAGGAGCGGCGCGCACGGTGGCTACCGGAGCAAGGGCCCCGGACTACAGGAGTAACTGGCTCCGCGGCTAAGACGAGCGGCAGGAGCAACGGACCCACGGGCGACTAGCGCAACAGGCTCGCTGGGCTACCGGAGCAAGGGCCCCGGACTACTGGCGCTGCTGACGTCACGACGGCTACCTCCGCTCAACCTCCCCCAACTGTCCCACACCCCTTTCACACACCCCTTGCTTCACCCCTAGCTCCACTCCCACGACACCCCCCTAGCGCCACTCCCTCGGCTCCCACACACCCACCCCCCTCAGCGGCAGCTGCAGCAGTGGGAGAGAGAGGAGGAGGAGGAGCAAGGGACGACTCACACACCCGCCACCCCCATACCCTCCACCCCACGGCTGCACGCGCAGCAGGGAGAGGAAGGAGAAGGGGGGGCGGGGGGAGGGGGGGGGGGGGGGGGGGGGGGGCAGGGGGGGGGGGGGCGGGAAAGAAGCTGCCCCGCGGCGCACGAGGGCAAGGGACGGCGCGCGGGTCCACAGGGCAGCGCGCGCGG